GTATGAGCCTTTTATGTCAACTAATGGAGGATAAGATTCCACTACACCATTATCAACTAAATGCTTTAATGCTAACGCATATTTAGTTTCTCCTATACGGTCGAGATATCGACGGCAAAATGGCAGGGTGCCAAAATGCTTAGTAATATTGTTTAAAAGAGATTGGGCTTTCTTTATACTATATGCAAAAACCAGGTTATGTGTTGGATTTTTAGAATAGAATGATTAATTATATGGGTAATTATTTTTGAATCCAGACTAAATGTTATTTACGTCATATATAAAATTGGTCCGGTCCGGGTTCAAAAATAATTACCCATATTAAGCATATTAAGGAGCTTACAAAATATCCATACCGTAATGTAGTTTGATGAACATCTTGACGTTTTGCATAATGACTACATTCACCATCTTCACGAACATAACCCTTCCCCGTGCTTCCAAAGGTTTCAATAGCAAAATATTCACCTTCCTATATAATAATATATGTACATGTTTGCTATTTGTGCCCATAATATTTATAATATAGTTTAAACACGTAAATTTTTTAGTACTTACCTCCATTTTTGTTGCTGTTGCGCTGCCTTTGACAATCGGTACAGATTTACCGGCGTGAATTTGGTACGGAAGTATCGAGTGTCCGTTCAAATTTCGAATCGGTTTCACTACATAAATTTTTTTAAAATATTTAAAAACTTGTAATCGTCGATAAAAAAAAATAAAATAAAATAAATACCTTGATATGTTTTTTGATTAATTTCGACCTCGTAACTCTCCATAACTAAATTGATTGATATAAGAAGTTATCGGTAATTGAACATATAAATATATAGATTATCAATGAAACATATTAATTTACCTTCTTGAATAGCGGCACCGATATCACTTAATCTCACGTCAATGCCTGCCTCCTATTAATTATAATAACATATTTTTCAATTGTTCATTAATTGATCATTTTAATAAAAATAATAATAATAACTATCTGTGGATAATATACCCGAACTCCAGTATTAGTGGCATCTTTAACAGCTTCTTTGAGACGGTCATAAACAGGGTTAAAAGTAAGTGTGAATGCACAATCAACGATGCGACCTATAAATTTCAATACAAACCATTAATTATTCAATGAATCAATGTATTAATACATTACATTATAATAATCAGTATAAACATTACCATTGACGTGTGTTCCAAAATCAATTTTGATCATCAAATAGGTTTAATAAGTTAATGTAAAAAAAAAAAAAAAAAAAAAAAACAGAATACAAATTATTTTATACTTATCCAATCTTTTTTTGCATTCAATAAATAAAATTAACTTGTAAATTATAAAATTTGCAAATTTGAATTTTCAAAGAATATAAACCAGGTTTTATCTAAATTAACACTTATTTTCATATTTGAATATTACTAACCATAACCGGTGGTGACCATCACCGGGGTGCCTATATTAATATCTCAAAAACGTAATAAGTAAACAGGATCAGGCATTCTAAGTAGGGATGTTAAAAGTTCGGTTCGGTTCGACTCGACTCCATGAGTCGAGTCTCAATTTAGACTCGGCTCCGAGTCAG